TTGATTGATTTTTGGGTCGGGTTAATATCATATCAGTTAGATTTCAAGTCGGGTCAATATCAAATCGGTTGATTTTCGATTTATGTCAACCTTTAAATCATGTCAATTCATGTTGAATTGATTATGAGTATAATCAAGTATATATATAATTATTGATATATTATTGTAAAAAAATGTATTCTTGTTTGTTTATCTTATCATTTAGACATAATTTCAATTCTCAATCATTCAATATTTTGAATTAAACCAATATTTAGAGATGATAAATCGATAATTTGACACAAATATGATCCTATAATGCGTGTTAGAATGTATTATCAAAATTTTATATTGATATTGTACGAAAAAATTATAATGAGAACTATTTGATAAATAAATATTTTTTTTTATTAAAAATTTTATTTCCAATTATAAATTTAGAATTTTTATTAAATTTTAAAAATAATACATAACTTTATTTGTTAAATTTTAGTCGTAACATAAGTAAACTTTATATTATTTTTATTATAAATATAATATTATTTCCTTTATTTTAGTTATTTTCTATTATTTTTATTATAAATCTAATATTTTTTATTACAATAAAGATAAGAAAACTTTATTTATTAGTGTTTTCAATCTTACAATTATATTCTTACTTTTATATTCCTCTTATGTAAACATAAGTAAACTTTATATTATTTTTATTATAAATATAATATTTTTATTTAATTATAAATTTTATTTAAATTAATTTATTATCCAGTTCGAATTAATTTTTGTTCGGGTAACTTTCGGGTCGTGTTAAATTCGGTTTGGATTATTCTTGGATCGGGTTAAAATTTGGTTCGGGTTTTTCGGTTCGGGTTAATTTAAGTTTTGGTTCCGGTTACTTTCAGTTTCGCTAAATTTTGGGTCGGGTATGGTTCGGATCGGATATGAGTTGGGTATCAGATCAAATTTGATTATCATATTCAGGTTAACATCGGGTAAATCGGTTCGAGTAATCGAGTTTGGGTCAAGTTTGCTAGGTCTATTAAGTATAGGACCTTAAATTAGGATAAAGTACATAAATGGTCCTCAAACTATAGGATATTATTTTATTAAGTCATTTGATTATTAAAAGTTACAAAATGGTATCATGATTATAGGGTATTCCTTTGTCGAGTCACTCTATTATTAATGGTCACTCGACTATTCATTATGTTGCAACTCATCTTTTTTGTTTGTTTAAAAAATGATGAAAATCTAAGCTGGATGTTAATATGTGTGCGAGATATGATAGTCGTTTGAGATAATCTGATCAGATTTTATCATATCTTATACATTAAGTTAACATTTAACTCATTCCGTCATCAATTTTTAATAAAAAGGACGAATTTGGAACATAATGAATAGTTGAGTGATCATTTTATAAGTTTTAATAACCGAATGACTCAACAAAGCAACATCCTATAATCGGTGGACCATTTTATAACTTTTAATAGTAAAAAAACTCAATAAAATAATATCTAATAATCGGGGCCAATTTATGTAATTTACCCTAAAATTAAATCACCGATCTTGGAAGATTAATCTTTACGGTAACATAACAATATTCGAGTCGACGTTTTGTAGATTAAAATTGAATCCACGTTTTGTTCAATTTCTTATTGGTACAAAAAATATTTTATTTTGAAATATAATAAAATATCTTAAAATCTTCATATCTATAATTTACCCATCCTTTTATCGAGAGGGGAGTTTAGGCTCTTTTCACGTTAACATGATGAATTTTATGAACATTATAATAAATATCGTAATTCTTAAAACATATTTTTTACTTGTCATATTTTTTAAGTTTAATTTGGATCGAATAGAGGTTATATAATTTTTATATCAAATCGGTTTGACCGAAATTCGATTCATACTCATCCCTGATTACATGGCTCGTTTCATAGCGACGGCCATTTCTTTTTGAAGTTATGGGTTTGTCACACTGAAACATTGCAGAAGTCCAATTTCATCCTATCCGACCCGAGCAAGACAGGGAGGGTCAGGTGATTTTGGACCACACTAGTTAATGTCTTAATTAAAGACATGTCTCGATTTTCTACTCCGAGTTGTCGGATCCTATGCTTTTAATAATTCGTTAAACTAGCCCCTCAAAGACTTAGTTGTCACTAAACACACCTCCTAAAAATTTTAAATTTTATTATTTTTTATATATTTTTATTTATTTTCTTATTTTACATCCCATATAATTTTATAACTTCTCATCCCCTGAAAATTTTAATATAACTTACTAAATTTATACTCCCTAAACTAAATTTTTACATCTATCCATACCTCTAATCAAACAATTACCTTACAATTCTACTTTAATCATTTACGTCCAACCTTGAAAGTTGCATATACACGAATCAAGTAATATTAATTATTGATAGAATGATTATTATTACTATAGGTCTTGAGTTCGAACACGACGTTTATAAAAATGTTTCAATATTATTAGATGGTAATTTTTTTAAATAAATAAAAATAGTATCTTATAATCATTATAAACTAATAAAAATATAAACTTATAACATTTAATTAGTATAGATAATAGGACGACAAACAATAAAAAGTTTGGAGACAAAATGAATGAAAAATATCATATGCCATTCCCACAAGCAAAAGATAATGTTTTCTTTACAACTCTCATCTTCTTCTTTTCCTATTCACGAAATAAATATTCAAACATAGCCTACCACCTACAATAGTGTAACTGTTTATTAATACATTATAATTTTGAATATAAATTTATAATAATTCTAATTTTTATTATCTAATTATTTAATAACTTTAATCCCATAGTTATTGAGATTAGTGATGACTTTAATCCCATAGTTATTGAGATTAGTGATGGTTTTTGATATGAAAATCTTCATATCTATCATAAATTCTCCGTTCTGATTAAATGAGTCGTATTATAAATCTTTTATATCCGATTAAAAAAAAAAATTTGAATTATAAATTCTTGACGTAATTTTTAATATAATAAAAAATTATATGATTAACAGTTTTTTAGGAAAAGGTATGGGGTAGTGTGAGATGAAAGGGTCATGTCCATGCAAATTCCATAAGTGAGAGCATGGGAGTGTTTTCATCTGACAAAGGTACTATTGGAAAGAAGAATCTGACCACAAACAGCTTTTTAATTAGAAAAAGAAAATTAAAGAAGAGTGAGAAAAGCGACGAGACGAACACTTTCATAGTATCTTGCTTCTTTCGTGGGACTTTACACTTTACAGTAACTACAAATCTTTAGTGTTTTCTCTCTCATTTCCCCGCACGAATTCAACAATCACCGCACCACGGGGTTACTGTATTCCATCTACTTTCTTTGAGTTTTTTTTTTTTTGCAATCTTTGTTCCACCTTTCTTCTTCTTTAACGATCACTGTACTATTTGTGGTAAAATTAGAATCCCTGCCCCCCAAATCCGTATTTTTGTACCAAGTAAGAATCTTTTTCATATGTTGCGGATTTGATTTGATTTTTATTTTTGTTTGGGTTTGCTTTTGGTTTGTGTTTGCTGATTTTAAGCTTCGGTTCTTGCCGTGTTTGTTTTTAGCTTTGGATTTTGTTGAATTTTAACCCCCTTTTTTTTCTTGGCTTGTTGTTACCTGGTTTCTAAATCTGGGTTTTGTTTCTTGTTTCTTTTCATGGCTTGTATGCATGTTTAATAGATCAATTTTAGTTTGTTTTATATTTTATTCTGTGTAATGAAAATCTTCCACGATGTTCTTCGTTTGACGCCGTGCTTGCTAGATTTATGTCATGAGTGTCGACCTTTAAGAAGTAAATTTGAAATTTAGGTGTATGAAATGATAAAATTGCAGGGATGAGAATTTAGATCATCAAATGAAAATACACATGAAATACCTAAACTAAATTATGTAGGGATTCGAAATTTTCGTGAGGTGCGGCCACACCCCAGCAGGTCAGCAGCCCCTCGGTCTATCGCTGCTCGAGAAGGAAATGGGGTCGAATATGTAGAACTTTTTGTTATCTTCATTGATTCTGGGTGATTTTAGCGCTGTGTTTTCTATGGAATCAAGCATCTTGTTGCATTCATGATTGATGCTCCTAGGAAGCATATGGTACCATATGAAATTAAGGAGAGTTATGGTGGCATGAAACTCGACCACCTGCGATCGATCATCTTAGATCCTAGGATTGCTAATATTGATTCTCTACTCGTTTATCTGCTAAGCTCTCTGGCCTTGGCCGGATACTAATTTCTTTAACTCTTTTTTGATCTCTTGTGTTTGGAATAAAACACCCGAACTCGAGTAACATGGAAAGGAAGTCCTCACTATAGGTCCTTGTGTACCATGATAGGTAGTTTTAAACTTTTAATATGAATGCTAGAACTCGATATCTCACATGTTGCTTCCTCCATCACGAAGAACTGATATTCCTAAAAAAACTCGATTATTTGAATCGTCACTCTTGACCGCTATGAAGCCGGGAAATAGCGAGTTTAAGGAAGAAATGAGAAACCACAGAATATATTCAACACTAGGTTAAGTTTGAGTCTGTGTGCCTGAGGTGATTACTCTCTATTCCAATGCATTCCTAGCTCTGCCGATCATCGAACAATTTGCTCCATCTTTCTTATATATTACTATCTTCTTCTAGATGGCAATGGAAAGTCTGAAAGAAAGTCTACTTGTATTTGTGTTGGTGAATTTTCATATGATTTATCGACCTGTGTTGGTTGAATGCTAGTTTAGCTTCGAATTTCTTTATGTACATGGCCCGCAAGAAACAGAAAAACCCAAATTCCTGAACTGACGAGACACGAAATATTTCTGACCGGGAAGTTTCTTTGTTTCTTATTGATTTGTTAATACATAGTCGCATCCTTTCTGTACTTACAAGGTTTGCACAATTCGAACAAGAAACTTGGACACAAGTATAGATACGTGTGAATGTTTGTGTTTCAGTTTTGTCCAGCTATGCAATGCAAGTTCTTGTTGACAGTACAACATTTCATTTCTTTTACTTACATGCATGCGTTGGAGATCCGACTTATTAACACGTTAACATTTCGTACCTGATATATCAAATGGAACTAGCAGTAGACATTGCTGAGTACCCGAGAATGACACCACCGAACCCGAGGTTAGAATCAGAAAATGATTCAGATGCGAGTAGCCGAGCAGCTTCCAACGTGTGTCTGCAAGAAGCATCCTCGGATCCCTCAAAGGATAGCACAGCCACTACTTCATGCCTCACGAATCCTGTAAAGGCTCAACCAGATTCAGGGTCTGTTTCCCTAGACCTGACTCTCCATTTCAGTGTCGGTGATGCCGAGATGAAGGGAACCGGAGAGACTAGTAGTGAGATAGGGGTCAATACACCGACTATCCCTCGGGTTTTCTCTTGTAATTATTGCAGGCGTAAGTTTTATAGTTCGCAGGCACTGGGTGGACATCAGAATGCTCATAAGAGGGAGAGGACGATGACAAAGCATGCAATGCGGATGGGGATATTGTCTGATAGGTATACAAGCTTGGCGTCTTTGCCCCTTCATGGTTCTACATTTCGGTCTCTCCGGATCAAAGCTCATTCTGCTATGCACTACGGAACCATGCAATCTCAGAGGCCTCTGGACACAAGAACTGGAGCAAGGTTCGATCAAGCGTATTTCGGGATGCCGATATTCATGGAAGAAGATGACGTTGACTTCTTTTGGCCAGGGACTTTCAGGCAAGTGAATAAAGGGGCCAGCAGCAACCAGGCTTCAGATTACCCTCGAGATTCTACTCGAAGTTCAAACATAAGTTTCGTAGCAACAGCATCACCACCAAGAACAGATACATCTTCGCTGGATCTTACATTGAAGCTCTAATTTTCCGAAGGTTCATTCACTTCTAGACGTGATACTCGTTACGGCACTACTCTGTATAATCGAGATGAATTAGCAATGGCTGCTAAGATCATAAGATAACTTTTGCTAGATTTCCTTAACATTTATATATGATTGCAGGAATCAGATTCACATTATAAGTTAAAATCATATCAAAATATGTTAATAAATTACCAAAAGATAGGGCAATATTTCGATACATTCCAATCGGAGTAGGTTAATTAGTTACCAAAAAGTATACGTAAAACTATTTTTTATTCAATATATGAATTAGAAACCCGACCAGACACGATATAAAATAATAAAAAAATATTTTTATTCAATAAAAACATTGACTTAATTGAAAAAATTTATAATAGAGGGGTATTATTGTAATTATTCCTAAATATATAAGGTAAAATTATATATTTTTTTTCGGGGCGGTCCGGTTTTTTTCACCCTAAACCCGAAACCGACCCGAATATCACACTTAAAAAAACCCAACTCGAATATCACACTTAAAAAACCCGACCCGACCCGAATATATGAATTAAAAATCCGACCCGACCCGAAATAATAAAAAAGTATTTTTATTCAATAAAAACGACGACTTAATTGAAAAAATATATATAGAGAGGGGTATTATTGTAATTATTCATAAATATATAAGATAAAATTATATATATTTTCGGGTCGGGTATTTTTCATCATAAACCCGAACTCGACCCGACCCGAATATCACACTTAAAAAAACTGACCCGACCGACCAAAATAAAGTTTCACTCGACCCGACCCGAATATATGAATTAGAAATCTGACCCGACCTGACCCGAAATAATAAAAAAATATTTTTATTCAATATATGAATAAGTTATCAAAAGATTGATGAGGGTAGTAAATTGAATTCTATCCATTCTTGGATGAAATTCACTTTCTCTTATTAGATAGAAAGTTAAAGGCACGAGGGATTCCAATTCTCTTGGAAAATTTAAACCAAACATGGGAAAATGATGAAATTGGATTCTAATTTCCCTCAATTCCAAGCGATTCCATCCAACCAAACGCCACCTTAGATTCAAAGCTTTGAATTTTCCACTTTGTCAGAAGAAATAACACCCGTAGCTTCTCTATGTTTCTTCCTCCTCTGACTTGATTTCCATTTTGTTAAAACCCCCATACTGCTATCTTCTACCATTGAACCCTTCCATGTTGAGGTGAATTGATATGTCCCGTCATAAAGCTTGGGATTTTCCCTTAGACCAAAAAAATTAACCCAAACCATCCGAGCAACCTCCGACCACCTTTTGCTCGTCCGATTAAGAGATAACTTCCCTATGTCTGATCGCATAACGTTCGAATTATGAGATTTGTTTGAAAAAAGGAGGTGCTCCAGTTGCTTGCCTTTGTAGGGAACCACCTTTGATAAAACTCCATCTCTCTTTCTGCTACCCCATCCCCTTAAGCCAACTTTAAAGAACTTATGTACCCGTTTCTTCTTTCTCCTCCTTCCCCGATTCCTATTAGACCATTGAGCAAACACATCTTTCGTTCATCCTCTTCCAAGTGAGCAAACACCTTTCTCAACCTGCAATGCCAAGAAAAAGATGAAGTAAGAAAGAAGAACATGTTTACCTCGTGGAAGAAATCCGTGGGGAGTTACGTTATGACAACCACTAGTACCCGATGAGTGATCCCCAACTGGGTTGACCTTGTCATTAACTAAGATAACCAATTCTTTTTCCACATCATGAGGTTCAACCTCGTTTTGTGGAACCTGAATGAAAAAACCAGTAAAGAAAACCACTGGAATGATGCAAGTTTTCCAATTGCTATCTCGTTTAGACTCATTGAAATCCCAATATCGACTGGGACCTAAGAAAATAACCATTGTCAAACTTTAGAAACCCTCTAAAGAACGTAGAACCAGTTAACTTCCTAATACCATTGTCAATTTAATAGTCGATGAATAAGATAGTTCGTTAGAGTCAAGCACTTCATTAAAAGTATCCAATTTGAGAAATCATGCTTATATTATATATACTACTATATGGCAATACACTCCAAAAGTATTTTTTTCTTCTTCTTAAAGTGGAATAAAATCTCACCATATGGAAGAGTTAATGTATTCCAACATTTTAAGATTTTGTGTGTAGATATAGATTTTGTATGATTTTTTTGGATAAACTAAATTATATTCTAACTACCGATCTTTTAATTTCATCAATTACATCATTTAATTATTTAAATAATGTCAATCAAGTGACATGTCGTTAATATTTAATGAAAGAACAAACATGATAGTTGAATTTATTGAATTAAATTAAATATATTATGAAATTAATATAGTGTGTAGGTAATGAGAACCAAATGTGTAATTATACTAAATTTATTAACAATCACGTTTATCGATCAAATGTTATTCTCATATGAATAATTCAGTGATATAATTGATAAAATTAAAAGATTCATAGTTAATTTAGAATCCGTCCATATTTAAATGACCATGACTATAATTTACCCTGAATTCTTTTGGTGTTGAATTTGTTTAATTTAAAATATCCTGAATTTCTTTCCATGTACTGCAAAAATAAATGTTAACATAATAATTTATTTTATTAGATATCGATATTTAATAGCAAGTTAACGTATAGTTTAGATCACCACTATTTTTTTTAATGGAAATAAACGAGTTTGAAACATATGAATAGTTGAATGACAATTTTGTAACTTTTAAAAGTCAAGAGACTTAACAAAACAACACCCTATAATCGGAGACCATTTTGTAACTTTTAATTGTCGAAAGACTAAACAAAGTTGCACCCTGTAGTCGGGACCATTTATGTACTTTACCCTAGAAAATATATAAAAAAAATCTAAAATATAGAAGGATTTGAAAATTTCATGAGTTCGATTGCGCCCGCCGTCCTCTCGGTCTAATTATAAGTTCACATGTGGTCCTTTCATACTAATATATAATAATTAAATTATTATAAAAATAATTATTGATCTTTATCAGTATATTAAATCAAGAAAACTTCTTATTTAATTTTATTCTAATTCCAAGAGTTTATTGAAATAAAATACATAAAATTTTAAATAGGACAGACACTTTCACAATCCGAATCGGTAGAGAAACAACCCAACGAAGGTTTTGCAGTACAACAGAAACAATCATACGAACCACGCGGGCCAGGACACTTGGCTTTATGACATTTTGATAATGTTATATCAACACCTCCCGTTTCGTTTCCATCTCCTCCATTTTTGCCTACAAAATTACAAATAATAACAAATATTACATAACTAAAATAGAAATTTTAATATAGAGATAAATAAGGGGAGAGTCATTCAATTAAGTAGCTTAATTTAATTATCGAATTTAACGATATATTGCATTCCTCGTCCACATAAAGAAAAATCCTTCTTTTTTCGTCTAATTCTTTTTTTTCTTAATAAAAATTCTGCATCTTATCTTCATCGTCAAACCATAATCTTTCATCCTCGTTAAAAGGGATAAATTGTGACTGATCAAACAACCCGTCTCCATCGTCGATCAATTAAATTGCTTTTGGTTATTACTTTACCAGTCGACCATCAATAAACATAATATATTAGAATAATGCAATTCTATTATATATACGTACGTGTATATATATATATATATTATATACAAAACCATATAATTTTATATTAATATAATAGAATTATTCTTTTAAAGTTGAAAATATACTTACATTCATAAAGATGGGAGTTTGCAGCACATACAATGAAGAAGAGAAGGAGATAAATGGAGAGAAACTTAATATTTGCCATTGTATCTATTGAAAGTTTGATAGTATCAATTTCAGAAATTGGGTTTATATTATATATATGCTATATGGCAATACCCTTTAAAGGTATTCTTTTCTTAAAATGGAATAAAATCTCACCCATATGGAAAACTAAATGTATTCTAATATTTTAAGATTTAGTGTGTATATATAGCTTTTGTATGAATTTTTAGGTAAACTACATTCATGACCATTTAAATACGAGGAAATTATACTCTAATTACCGATCTTTCAATTTTATCAATTAAATCATTCAATTATTTAAATGATACCGATCAAGTTACATGTCGTTAACATTTACTGAAGGAACTAATATGATAGTTAAATTTACTGAATTCAATTAAAATTAAGACCATATTAATAGGGTGTGCAGGTAATGAGAACCAATTATGTAATTATACCAAGTTTGTTAACAATCATGTTTACTCCTTGATCGAATGTTAATCTCATCTAAATAATTCAGTGATATAATTGATATAATTAAAAGATTGATAGCTAAATTAGAATCCTTTCATAATTAAATGACCATGGTTGTAATTTAGCCTTAATTCTTTTGGTGTTGGATTTGTTTAATTTAAAGGATCCTGGATTTCTTTCCATGTACTGCAAAAATAAATGTTAGTATAGTAATTTATTCTATTAGATTTTGATATTTAATAGCACAAAAGATATATTTTAAAAGTAATTTTATAATGATTTTTTTAAAAAATAAAAATTACACGAAAAAGAAATTCAAGAAATCTTAGTCACTTTATAGAAATATAGTAATTGTGATATAAAATGAATTTTAAATGTGGATTCAGATATCAAATATATTATTTGTAAATATAACGAGAACTTAGATAATAAACATTTGAAGATTAACATATATATTCACTCAAAATTCGTTGTGTATATGAAATAAAATATTTATATTTAATTACCATCTTTACCGCCACGAGTCAATTTGCTTTATTGGTTAAAGGAATTGTTTTTGTTCCTAGAGGCTACGGGTTCGAGCACCAGCGGCTACAATAGGGTGATTGAATGTTCATTGTCAAATAGTTGAGAGTATTTAAAACATATACTACTTTATAATCATCTTAACTTAATCCAAAAAAATATCATCTTTACCGACATCTATGTCCTACACATTCAAATAGTTGCCTAGAAATCCAGTGTCCAATCCCAACAGTGCACCAAAGTATATTGAAAAGTGGAGCAACATGGATTAAAATTGATATGATCCGATGCTAAATTTAGGGAATCAAAAAGAGGAGGTTGGAGAGTTTTATGATAAAT